AATTTCCTCACCTGGAAAAGAAGAAAATAACAGCACTGCCTCAAAAGGTTGTGATAAAGATTAAATGGGTTAGAATGTACGAAGCCGTTAAGAGTGGCCCACATTTAGTAAACACAAACCCATTTGTTTTTTGTGGTTGCGACCAACATGTTTTAAAGATAAAGATGAAAGATAATTCTTCGTATGTCTACAACAACCTTCCTTTAAAGTAAACATCCATGCCACAGAGAATTCGCATGAAAACAGGGCACGTGGCTTGCTGTACTGTATCACGCAGACTCTACACCTATGTCAAGGAAGAGAAAAGCTCTACAAACTTCATCCTAATAGTTGCAATTACCTAGCAGAGAGCTTTTTAAAGTAAATCCTTACACAGCATATACCGGCTGACTGTTTGGACTTTACAATGGTAAAGGAACATCCTCGGACAACAAGGAGAATCAATTGTTGTCCCAACAGCGAGCATCAGAATTCCTCCTAGGGAACCACTGTAATGAAGCACTGGGAGCGGAAACTCAAATCCTTAGAGATGAGCTAGCGTTGAGAAGACACCACAGCAGAGGAAGGGAACCTATCGAGCATTAGAAATGAAAACGAACTTGGAAAGAAAGAAGAGGGAAGATATGACTGAGTTATGATGGAAGAGCAACGTGATTTTTAAGAAAAGAACGACTCAATATTACATTCTAAGTGTTTGTTTTGTTTTTTTTGCAGTGTAATACCCTGACATTCACACATGCGCACATCTCCCCTCACCTCCAACCCAGGGCCCCAGTAAAGCCAGGTTGACTGATGGAGTGCTTTCTTATCCACACGTTTCAATTTTGGGTTTTCTAATGCAAATCAAAGAAAGAGACAAATTCCACACCCTCCTTTGACATGGTTTGGGACAGGGACAGACATGTGAGGTAAGGATGTGATCCATTCACAGAAAGTTTTTATCAAGAGATGAGCATTATTAGAACACAAATACTTCTCCATCCACCATTCCCAGAACCCTCCCCAGGGGAAACTTTCAGAAATACTGATCTGTGATCTATACTCACTGTCTCTCGTGTCTGTATCCTCTCCCCAATCCACCGCCTTGTACCCCTGAACACACCCATCAGGCCTTTGACCTGAAACTGCTCTTGCCAAGGTCACGCGTGACCTTCGCATGGTAGACTCAATAAATAATAAATTCTCAGTCCTCATCTAACTTGACTTACCATTTATCATCTAATTTTCTGTGAAATACTTTCTTTACTCAATGCCCGGAACACCCCATATAAGTATTCCTTGAATCAGTTACTTCTTCTCAGTAGCCTTTACTAGCTCCTAATCTCTCCAGCCTCTAAACATTGGATCAGTCCCTCCTTGATCCCATTCCATCTGCTCTCACAAGCTTGGTGATCTTGTCCAGCCTCACAGCTTTCTACATCATGATATGCTGGCAAACATATATCTCTAGCTGGATTACTCAACCAAACTCCCTTTTTATAAATTCAACTGTCCACCTGAATTTCTCAAGGACACCAAACTGCCACCTAAATGTTTAATAGACACATCAGGCTTTAAAATTACCTCTTTCCACAATCTTTCTGTCTCAGTAAATGGCAATTCCATCCTTCTCGCTCTTAAACCCAAAACCCTGGGGTCACCGCTGGTACCTCTCTTTCTCCCACATCCCGTTCATCAACAAATTCGTTGTCTCTACTTTCGGCGTTTATCTAGAATTGGACCACTTCTGACTACTTTGCTTTTAACATCCCAGTCCAAGCAATTGTCAAATTTTGCCTGAATTTTGTCATAGCCTCTTCAGCGGTCTTCATGCCTCTGTCTTTTCCCCCTGCACCAGGGTCTCTCATTCTCAGCATCATTGATGTTTGGGGCAAGATAATTCTTTGTTGTGGGAAGCTGTCATGTGCATTGCTGGATGGGTAGCAGTATCCCTGGCCTCTACCCACTAAATGCCAGCAGCACACAATCCACCAGTCCCCTTGAATTGTGAAAGCAAAAATGTCTCCAGATATTGCCAAGTGCTTCTGAGGGACAAAATCATCCCTCAGTAGAGAACCATTGCCCTACAGTGTATCCAACCAAGTTATAAGAATGACCCTTTTATAACAGATGCCACATTACATAATACTTCTGCTCAAAACTGACCAACAGATTTCCATCCCGCTCAGAAAAAAACAAAAGTCAGAGTCCTTACGACAGCCTGCTGGCCCTACATGATCCATTAGCCACCCATTCCTCCTTGACCTCATCTCCTATTTCCCACCCCTTTAGTCACCCTGCTCCAGTCATCCTTGCCTCTTTGCTGTTCCTCAAATACGCCAGCAAAGCTGCCATGTCAAAGTCTGGGCACAGTGTTCCCTCTGCCTAGGGTCCTCGTCCTATGACATCCACTTGGCTTACTCTTCACTCCCTTAAGTTCTTTGCTCAAAAGTCAACTTCCCAACAAAGCTTTCCATACTCACCCATTTAAAAAACTCAGCCTTTCTCCCATGGCCCATCTGCTCCCCACACTTCCTGACCCTTCAGGCTAGCTTTTTCTTTAACAGCACTGATCTCCATCTGACAATGCGACTCGTATCCCTAATTGCTTAAACACTTATCTCTACCTAATAGAATGTTAAGCCCCAGGTGGGAAGTGATTTTTTGCCTTTTTTTAATTTGGTGCTGCATCCCAATCACATAGAAAAGTGCCTATGTGAGGTATTCAATAAATGCTCATGGAATAAATAAGGGAAGAAGGAGGGAGGGAGGAAGAGAGGAAAGGAGGAAGGAAGGGAGGAGGGGAGGGAGGGAGGGAGGGAGGGTAGAATAAGGGTCTTGGAAACCATCTCAGATCTGAAACATCAAGGCAGATACAGCTGATTTCTGGGACATATCTACATTCGTCATTTACAAAGACTGAGTTAGTTTCCATAGAATTCATTTAAAATATAATTTGTAATGTACAATAAAAAGTAAAGATTTGTCAAAATGCTTCCGTGCTTTGGAATTTGATGTTGGGAGCATTTAGAAAGCATGCTTATAAATCCCTTAGCATATAGATCTGAATATCTAAAGGCATATTAAACAAGTCGAGCTTATAGAGAAATTTTACAAAGTGCAGGGGCCGTGGTAACTCCCCTAGCTATAGAAAAAGCAGTGCCTGGGGGTAAGCCGCATCATTCAGTTACATCCACCGTAAGGCAACTTAACAAGCAATAGTACCAGTGAACAAAGTCCTTTTCTACAGAAGAAACCCTGCACAGTTCAATGGCGAGTGAAAGAGAGGAACAGAGATGCTTCCTGCTGCAAGCTGACAGTTACATGGAACCCCCGGAAATTATAGATTGAGTTCCTCTACTAATTGCTGGTCTGAAGGGGACAAAGATCCACATTTTATTTCTCTTGCTGAATGTGCAGGATAAGCACGCGTGAATTTTACATTAGGGTCAAGCTGGGAAGTTCCCAGCCTGCTCTACCTGCAGAAGAGAACAGTGCTACCTCCCATGCAAATGAGGTCAGGCCTTCCTTTCTGCCTTGGGTGCCCACCAGGGAGATTTCAGTGCAACCGATTCTAATAAGGAAGCTGATATAGAGGGAAAAGAAAGAAGATTTCACAAAACAAAACAAAACAAAAGACGAGTCCCATTTGAAATAAAATTTTGTTTAGAAATTTGAAATAAAATCTTATGGATTCTAAGAGCACATGTCTCAAGAAGACCTCAGAATTTTGTAACATCATTCATTAAAACTGTATACCACATCCATTGATAACAATATCAACTATTCTACTTTCTGAATCGCTGACTATAAGACCAATAAAGCTACACATCAGGCAAGTACTTTAGTGAAACAGGCCCATCTCCAGCGAGGAGAATGTGTGCTTCAAATGCTAATACTTCTGATCAGGAAAGCACTTTGTTTTTGTCAATAAGCAATAACTTACAAGGATGCAGATCAAAAATGGTCTTGGGAAGGACAATGGATGGGGAAGGAGGGTGGGAAACAAAAAAACTGTTGTGATATAATATTTCAAAACAGGTTTTATTTGTTTATTTAGAGGAGGGGGAGGTCATTAGGATTACTTTTTTTTTTTTAATGGAGGTACTGGGAATTGAACCTAGGCTCATGCATGCTAAGCATGCACTCTACCACTGAGCTATATTCTCTCCCCAAAACAGATTTTCTGAGAAGAAAAAAAATAATTTCAGCATTTCTAGTAGGTATATATACTCCTTCTCACCTCCTGGAAAGTCACAGTTCACTCCCTGCAAAAGCAGCAGTTTCATTCAAATTCAGATAAAATTCACTCATTTATTCATTCAACAAATAATTATTGAACCTATTACCTTCATAAAAGGAAGCAATGTGAACATATTCATGGTGAACACAATCTCCATCGTGCCATTTTCTTTCTTTCTTGTTTTCATTCTATTTACTCTAACTGTGTGCTCAAAAGATGACTGTAAAAAAAGCATCTCAGGGACAACCAATACACGTGAGTCTGACATCTGAAAATTAGGAACCAGAAACTAATCAGTGAGTGCCCTCTTAGTATAAAATATTGAATTGTTCTGAGAGTCATCAAGACCTAGCTTGCAATCCCAACTCCTTCTCTCACTGATCATTCTGAGTAAAAGGAAGACCCTTAGGTCTCAGCTTCCTTACATGGAAAACGTTCTAACAGCACCCGCCCGCATAGCAGTTGTCAAGATTAAATGAGATGTTGGCAAGCACCCCTCCACAGTACTTATTCAACAAATTACAGCTATCTGGGTTATCTCTGGGACATCTTAAACTTACATAATGCCTTTCCTAATTTCTATGAGCACTTTCTGGCAAGACTTCAGAAGCACTCAGTTTTATTTTACCTCTTCAGAAGAAACCATTCTTAGTACTCATCTTCTCTAAAAATACAACCCTTGGAACTTCCATGCTTCTGGATGTCTCGAATAAATGCATAAACAAGAAATTCCACATTCAAGGAGCCCTTCCAATAAAGTAACCAAGAAAAGTCTTACCTAGTTTTGGCAAGGAATAGGGCACTTTAAAGTAGTCTTCGTAAAATTCGATCAGTCTCTTCGTTATATGGAGGGCGTAGTCCCCGGAACCTCTTCTGATAGCATCAGGCCTTGCGTATAATCGCACCTAATTAAAAGCATACATGAAAGTTACTGTAGCCTTTTGGTACTCGAATTTTATCTTCCCTGCATATATGAATCTACACAAATCACTTCTAACACTATAAAAATTAAACGGTATTCTCGTTCAGGTACCAAAGCATTCAGGGGCTGAAAGAATCAAGCTTAAACAACGGAAGTAACCACGTTGAGCAACTCACCATTTCCTAGCTTTACAAGATGACACAGAGAAGATTTATACACCTTGCATCAAAATAAATATTCGAAGTTATCACTTGCATGTGCTTGCTAGAGATAGGAAGAAACGGTGGAATAGTATAATGGTTCCCTGACTATGCTGAAAGCAGGCAGGATACGGCGGCTCGGCAGGAGAGGAAATTCATGGTTTGTTAAAATTACATCGCATCAAGCTTTGGAAGTATGAACAGGCTGAACAAAAATATAATTTATGCTTCTTCTTTTCTTTGGAACAAACTATCCAACTACCCTTACTCCCAATATGCAAAGTAGGAATAGATAACTTTTCACGTACATCAGTGATTGCCACTTTGGAGGGCTGTCTCCAACTGCTCTCGGCTCCAAACCAGCTGAAGTAATTCACAATTCTAACACAATCCGGATACTTAATATTGATTTTCAAATCAAGCATTGTGTATTATCTAGTCCTTGGCCAGAAAGGAGCCTGAGGCAAATGACATAAAACTGAACAAAACCAACAATTGTACAGAAAAGGTTAAAATGAGATTAGCTTTCCTAAAGCTTTCATAAAGCTATCCAGCATCTTTCTTTCCAAAGGCTAAATCTATTTTTCACAGATGTGGTCCCTAATCCTCATATCAATTCTGTAAATAAGAAATATGTATTTTGTGGAGCAGCAGAGAATACTGCAGCCTGGGAGTTGGGTTTTAGTCCAGCTCTGCCACTAACCAAGCTGGGTAATATTGAACAAATAACTTAAACTCTTTGGGTCTCCAATGTTCTTGCTCATAAAATGAAGGTGTTGGCCACCAGCTGGTTGCTAAAGTGCTTTTCAGCTCTAAAATGCATTATTTCCAATACCAATTTACAGATAAAGGAGTTCATGTTCTTCTCAAATCACTGAAAAAAATAAATGGTTTACTCACTATGTGGAATTGGATATTTATATTCAACAAGAAGACAAAAGAAAGCCAAACTCAATCATACAAAATATGATTATACAATTAATTCTTTATTATCCTTGCTTAAAGAAAGAGAACAGAGATGTGTATAATCAAAAAGAGTAGAAAGTCAAGGAAAATACATTCTGACTTTATGTTAGAAAGAGCGGTAATTCAATGAGATATTTACTAGACTCAATACCAATTATTTACCGAAATCGTGTAACGACTTCCCACCTGACAACCAAATGAAATATCAAAGATAGTTCACTGTCATCTACAGTTTTGGTTGGCAGTGGTATAAAATCAAAAACTATCAGGAGAACCCCTGCAACAGCTAATGCTCTCAGAGAGATGGTGCTTATGACCCCCAACCCCTGACATCAACTGCTTGTACAACATGCAGTGTCTTAAGTTCTCCAAAAGCAGACCCCAAGGAAAGCATGAGTATACAGGTGATTTATTAAGGAAGTGTTCTCAAGGAGAAACCCACAAGGGGGCAAGGGAAGCAATATAACGGAGCATATAAAGCCAAACGAGGGTGTAATTTCAAGTGAAGTTCTGGCCTCCGCCTGATCCTACTGGGAGCTCTAGAGGGTAAATTGCAGTGGTGAGTTTCCGCTACCTTGAGGCAAGAGAGCTAGACTTCCAGACTCCTGCATCTCAGTCATTGGATACTGGTTACCAAGGGGCAGGCATTAAATCTCAGGCACTTCTTGTTCCTGGAGCATCTGGATGATGCAGCTCCAGTGGCCCAAAGGTAGTCCTTCGGTGCAGAGGTTGAGTATGAGCTGTTAGAAGCAAGACAGTAAGAACTAGGGGATAAGCACAGGAAACAGGAAAGGAGATCTGGTCCTGCACCAAGAGCATACACCACAGACAAGAATCATTCATTCATACGTTTGTTCATTCAACAAATATTTATTTGGCAATTGCTTTGCACCAGGATCTGGACTAAGCATTTCTAACTTCAAGACAAAGAATATGTGTTCTCTGGTCCAAAGCATTATTGGGAACAAAAAACAATGATGATCTAATCCCCACTCAAAAAGTTGGATAATAATAACAGATAATGATACATGCCACATGAATGATAAACTGTAAGTGCCAAATGGATACTGAGAAGAATGGAGAGTTTTCTGAAGATTCATGGTGAAGTAAATCCTAAGTTCACATTAAAACCATAGCCAGGACCATTGCAAAATAACGCAGCAAAAGGTCACTGATTTTACTCCTAGGAGACACCATGGATTTTAGGAGGAACACAGCCATGCCTATCAATCAACTCTACCAGTTAGTCAAGTTGTCTGGAGGCCCAGACAAGAAAAGAATGATTAAATCAATCTGTTTGCCAAGATTTGATGGAAATGATCCAATCTGAGTGAGAAGATAAAATGCACACATGCTTAGTACAGTGTCTTCATTTGTTCATTCAAACATTTATTGCGTGCCTTCTGGGTGCCAGGCATTGTACTACAGCATAGAGCGAGAACAATAAAAATCTCCACCACACAATAAACAAAACATTTACTCTTACTGCTCTTAAGAGGTTCACAATATGTGGGGAAATAAACAAATAAATCAATAGCAAAATACAATATGAGAAATGTAACTGCATTCTGCCTTCCCTCCCATTACAAATGATGAACTCCTGTAATATGATGGAATGAACTCCCATTACGAAGGACTGAGCTCCTATCTAAGGCCAAACTCCATGTTCTATCTACCCCTCCTCCCTTTCCAAAGACATTATTCTCAAAATTCATTCCTCAGACATGCAAGAGAGGTTCTCCCATCACAGCTTTTGAGATTTCCCCTAGACATCCCCACAGCTCATTCCCTCTCTTCCTTCAGATACTTTTCCAAATATCTGTTCCTTCTGAGAAGTCTTCTCCCCCACTCCAGGATTCTCCATTCTCCTTCCTTGCTTTATTGTTTCCCATTGCATTTATCACCCTTTATCAAAAGATATGCTTCACACACTCATTTTGTTTCTTGCTGCCCTTTTTCCAAGAATGTAAGTTGCATGAGGGCAAAGATTTTTACCTATTAGTTTTTGTAGGTCAAAATATTTTGTTAAATTTGCCCCTCCAGTACCTGGTACATAGTAGGCAGACAATAAACCTTTGATGAATGAATAAGTGAATAAATGAATTCCATAGGTATGTAAATACTCAATGGAAGTCTATACAGGGACTTTTTCATGAAAATGTGGGATTCTCAGGGGTGGAGATATTTCAGCTAAATTTTGGTGGATAAGCTGGATGTAGTAAGCTACCAAGTGGAGGAGGATATCCCAGACCAAAGAAACATTATGTCCTAAGGCAACAGTGATAACCAAATGATAAGTGATTTTAAATGGAACAGTAAATAATAGGACTTAATTATGATACTGGCGGTAATTCATGAAGGGCTATTAAGCCAGAAAAGTGATAAATTTACTTCTGCGTTTAAGAAGGATGATGTGATTGACCTCTACCAGGTGAACTGAGATACAAGTGGTCACTTGTTAAGACATCTACAGAAAGACAAAGTTAGAGAAGTGAGGAGATAGAGTG